CTCAGTGTCGCGCCCGTACCGGACCGGGACCGGCAACGGGATCGCAACCCTTGGTGTTGCTCCCACGCCTCGCTCAGCCAGTGAGCGGGAACTGGTCTGTATGTGGGATCTGAACCCTCGGCGGGTTCACCACCGCGCTTCCAATCGGCGCACTGCAGCAGTGTGCCACCGGGCCGGCCCACTGTACTCTTCTTTTTGATGTTTGATTGAAAGCTGGGCCAGGCAGGGATGGGCCCTGGATACCAATTTCCAAGGACAGTTAACAAGATGGAGAATATTATCTTTTCCAGAAATCCTCTTGGGGAGAGCATTGTGTAAGCAGTAGGATGTGAAGCTCCCAAGAGTCCAAGAATGGAAGATGGGTCAATGAACTCCATTCTGTGGGGGGACAGTGCAGTTAACTGCAGGCTGGGAGTTTTGCTGAGTGGGGTCTGTACGTTTGGAACCAAAGTGGAATTGCTAGGAATTAAAACATCAGAGCTTCCACATAAGAAGTCTCTCTTTCCTTTTTTAAAAATTTAAATACATCGTTTACAACAGAGTAAGGTCCATAACACTTGTGAATGCTTTTGCACATTTGAACAACTCAGTCTACCAGAAGTGTGGTGTTGTCAAGTGGCCATTCGATTCCCAAAGTCTCACCCTTGTTAAAAAGTTAATTCAGTCCAAGAGAGGGATGTTCAGAGCAGATGCTGATTATATTCCTCATAGCTAGATTGTACTTATCACTTGTATTCAATTCAACCAACTTTAGTGAGAGTCTGCTGTGGGCATGGCATGGCAGAGGGTGAATAAGCCATAGTCTGCTCTTGGCACTCAGTTAATGGAAAACATTTCATCTGTTCCTCCCTTCCTTGTCCCGCAGGTCCAGTTGAGTCCAGGACCTGGTGTTAGGAATAGTGAGCTTTCCTTTCTGAATGGCACCTTGGGAGCTGACACACTTCTCCAGGGCTCCAGACTGGCCCCCGTCTCTGCAAAGAGGACCCTAGAACCAAGGAGCCGGAGGAGCCGGGGCAGGAGGTTCAAGGTGCATTCTCTGGAGCTTCCTGAGCCCAGTGGGAGCCCAATGTCAGACAGCTCTAGTGGCACATGGTGGAAAAGCCCTGGCTGGTCATCCCAGGCCAGCAGCCCAGCCATGGGCACCCAGCTGCATCTGCCTTCTCCCCACCTGGAACCTGGGGCCAGAATGAAGGTCCTCAGCCGGGAAAACAGCTTTCAGAAGTTTGAGGCAGAGACAAACGTTGACACGGGATTCACCATCATCAATTCCGAACCCCAGCATTCCTTTTTGAGCAGATTTTCAATGGATTTTCAGATCAGCCAGTCACCATCCTGTTTGCCAGCCTCTTCCTTGGGGGCAGTTACCTGCAAAAACAACAGAATTTTTGAAGAAAGAGTCCATCCTTTGTCACTTGCTGGCCAAAGGGACCTTGCTGCAAGGAAGATTGTCTCAAAATGTTGCCTTCATCTGCCAGTCCAGGGTGAAGAAAGAGAAGAAGAAGAATTTTTTATATAGCATAAAACAGATGTGGTTTTCTAAAATAGAGGACACAATAGAATGTTCTAGAAATGAGTACTGACCCAGAATCAGCCTGTTTCTTATTCATCTAAGGGGACCTGAATGTTACATATGCATAGGTCTGTATTGCTTTTATTTCAAATGTTCAAAGTCTAAAGGTGCTGGGAGCAATTGTTTACTTGTCTTCGCAATCATAAGGGAACACAGCCAGTGCTCAGGGAAAAAGCCCAACGCTAGTGTTCCCTGGAGACGCACTAACCCAGCTGGATGTGTTGACTTCAGCACCTATCAGGGTAATTGCATTGTATGCAAACGAATCCAATGTGTTATGCAATGCTGATTAGTGTGTGTAATTTGGTTTTCATTTTTACTGGGATTGCATAGCTCATCCCCCTGGACAGCATGGACTTAGTGTTTAGTGCTTTTTAATTTTATGTGACCTCCTTTAGTAACTAGGCGCTGTTCACCACATACCCTCTTGTGATTTTGCTTCCAAGTTGTTTGCATCTGAAATGAGTGGAAATATAAAGTGATTTGAAAATTATAAACAATTAATTTTTTTTTCTGCTTAATGAGCAGTAACACTGGAAGTCATAAAATCAGGTTAAAAATGAATGCTAGGCTCTAGGGTTTTCCTGCTCCTCTGTTTCTCATTTGTTTGTGCATTACTCTGAAGAGACCAGTGGTTCTTATTACAAAGAGGAATGTAGGATGATTGGATGATTCCAGGGCTACACTGAGCACGGCAGGAAGATTGGATTGGCTGGGTCACTGGAGCAGCACTTGGATTCTTCCGGCCATATTCGAACCCCCAAATTCCTTTGCAATAATCATTCGTTCATTCATTTACATACTCACTCAGTAAATATTTATTAAACACCTGGGTTTAACTAAGACATTGTATACATGGTACATATACATTCTGTGGCCTTTAAACCCAGAAAGTGTCTATGATTTTGCCACTGTGATAAATCCATTCCACTAACTCTTATAAAAATATTGAAGTCCAGGACTGGCCAGTTGGCTCAGTTGGTTAGAGCATGGTGTTATAAGGCCAAGATCAAGGGTTCGGGTTCTTGTATTGGCCAGCAGCCAAAAACAAAAGCAAAACAAACAAACAAAAATGTTGAATTCTAAACTTACATCCCTCAGAACATTCTTCTACAATCGATGCCCACTTTTGCCACACGAGGATGTAGTAAGCATTCACAACCTGAATATAGGCACTGGGCATATTATGAATTTTGTTTATAATTATAAAGGACAAATTCTCAGTTGCCTATATGCTGGATTTTTTGTTTAGGACTACACACACTTTTTTAAAAAACTAAGGTCTGTGGGTTTCAGTTAATTTCATGAACTTCATTCTCCAGGACAGATGTTACATAGCATATAATTGCTGATTTAGCCGGATCTTATGGAGACCTGGATACTTAGCGCACCCAGCTGGAGAGAAAGATGAGTTCAGGCCTAAAGAGAAATCTTGTGGAAACCAGCCTAGGCTGAGTTTGGGGGCTCTGCCCGGCGAAAAGGATAGAAATGGAGGAAAGTTGCAAATGGACCAAGATAAGACTTCTAAATTGATTTTTTTTTTGTCCTTAAAACATCGATATATTCACATTCCCATTTTCTCTTTCTCCCCCAGATTAAAATTTGATCTTAGAGAATGGAATGAGGAATTTAATTTTGGTATGGCTTTTTTCAATAAGAGTTAAAAAAAATGAAAGTCTTATTTAAGTCGAACCATTGAGCTGCCTAGAAAAGCACAGCAGGGAGAAGTTCTGAAAGTTCCTTCCCACTTTCTTTGTTTCAATAAGAGTTAAAAAAAATGAAAGTCTTATTTAAGTCGAACTATTGAGCTGCCTAGAAAAGCACAGCAGGGAGAAGTTCTGAAAGTTCCTTCCCACTTTCTTTGACCCTCTCTAAATTTCTTTGACATAATACGTGGGTAAGAATATACATGGAAATCATAAAGAATATTGAGAAATATGAATGATTAGCTTACAAAATTAACTTGTAAAATAACATACTCTTAAAATGTCCTACTCAACATAGGAATCCAATTTACCACATAATGGGAAGGAAATACCAGTGGACTGGGTGGGGGAGATCCAGAATTTGGTCTTAGCTTTTAGATTTATTATTTATGTGACCTTTAACATGTCAGGTTCTTTGATCCTCTGTTGCCTTATCTACTGTAACAAAAAGGTTGTGAGGAGAGTCAAGATTATGTATATGAAATCATTTGAATATTATTCAACACTATAAATGTGGGAGATATTTTTATTTTATATTTTATATGATATCGTATATTGTATTATTAATACAGTTGTTCCTTAAGACCCATAGTTTAAAAATGTCATGAGGACAAAGGATTTTTTTTGGAAACAAGCTTTAGTAAAATCAATGAGATAATAAAAAAATAAACCCACCTTTCTAAGATTTTTACTACATGTACCATTTGTTTTCTGTTATTATATCTAACAGGAAAGTTACACGCTGCAAATAATCAAATATAGTCTCGAGTTTGACAAAGATTGTATACAACAGTGATAAACTATGAACTAGTTTAATCCAATTTATCAAATTATGCTGAATTATAATTATATGTATTCCTTAAAATGTAAAATGTATCACTTTTTAAATCTGAGAGTCTCCTTATGATTAGAAAATGTTATTTCTCTATGTATAGATGTATTAAAAAGCAGTTGCATTGCAATTATTTGTCTCTTTTTAACCTTATTAGTAGCATTTCAAACTTTTTTGCAAGCATTATCTGGACATTGCTAAATATTAACAGAAGCGGTCAGGTTTGCAAACATATGAGGGTATTTTGAAAAGTTCATGGAAAAATTGAATTAAAAGATAATACAAATCTTTCCATGAACTTCTCGAAGACGCCTCATATTTGCTAGTGGAAGCAGAGCAAGGGATGTGGGATTTGGGGGTGGAGAGAGAGCAGGTGCCTCCGCAGCAGCCTCCACCTGCCACCTGCTCGGATAGGACTTGGTAAAGGGGTCTTGGGCTTTCTGCATCCAGCAATCTGCCAGCCGCTCTTGCATGGCATTGGTGGAAAGGCCCCTTTTGTCCCTCCCAGAGGAAGATAGAGAAAGGGGAAAGGAAACATAACCAAAGAGAACGGAGCCACAAGCACACACCCCACTTTCTGTTGATTAAAAAACTCCTCAATTTCACTTCCATATTATACAACGTATTCAGAAATGCCGTTTGCCTTTCCAGTGTGGAAGCCCTCGTGTATTGGGCATTTTCCCTTTTCCTTTCTGTCCCTCCTTTCCTTCCCCTCCCTTGCCATTCCTTCCCGTCTTTTTCCTTCCCTCCCTCTCCTCCTCCCTTCTTTTTGTGTGTGAATTCTTTGCTATTTTAAAATACTTTTGTCTTTGCTGCACCTCCGGGATTCCCTGCACAGATGACACATGACTACAATGTCTAAGGGGCCTCCTTGGCTGAGCTCTGAGAGAACGAGAAAGGAGAGATCTTCTCTGGGGAAATTGTTCCCAGTTTTCGATTCATCTTCAGGACCCTGCTGTGAGTCGACTAAACCCACATCACTTGGGAACAAACGGATCTCTCCTCCCACAGCTTTTTCCTTTTGCACCTTCTAAAACTTTCTCTGAGGTATGAGAAGTTTCTTGAGCATTTCTCACAATTAGCACGTTTTAAAATTTCCTGTAGCATGTGATAGGAAAAGAAAAGACACTCATGGCCCCCAGGGCACACAATTAGGGTTTATGTTATTAAAAACTTGATTCTGCTAAATTTTATTTTCAAATATATTATTATTAAATAAAAAGTTATATATTAAATAATTTATTATATATTAAATAAAAAGTCTTGTTATTCCAGAGAATGTACCTGGGCTGTTGCAGACACAAGGTCTCTGCTTCATGTGAGAAGAAGAGTTTTGTTTTCACAAACCCCACTTGTACCAGAGATGTTTCTGAGTTGGTTCTTTTAAAGAAAATAATTCTAAAGAGAGTCAATTATAATCTGAGCTGATGATGCTGGCGGGCCTGTGCAGCACTTCATGCATGCAAGGCATTCTCCCAAGCATTTTGTTCTTCACAGCAATCCTTTAAGGTAGGTGCTATGATGATCCCCATTTTACAGATGAGGAAATCGAGGCACAGAGTGATCAAGA